TGATGATCATGATGATGATGATGGTGGTGATGATGCTGGTCATGGTGATGGTGGTGGTGGTGATGATGGTTTTGTTTATAATACAGATGACACTATGATGATAAATATTGATGATAACAATAAATTTATTGTTGTGTTGATGTACATTGTTAGTTAGATGCTTTGGTGGTGATGTTGATGATACCTCACATGATTTTATCTTTCGTTCAACTCTTCTATATCATTACAGGGGAATGTTAGGCAAACCCATCACACTTTCCACATGGGACCACAGTTATTTCCAACCTCTGTCCAATCAGGATAAAAAATCTACAGGTACAAATAACATTCATTGACTTCCAAAACTGTATTATATTCCATTGTTGCTACAAAAACAAAAGTGTAAGGATTAGCTTTTGTCACAAGGCAAGTTCGTAATGGCCAATTTTTTTAGCACCTTACACATGAGACCTGAAGAACAAGAGTTTGATTCTCATCTGCAGTTTTGAAGGGAGAACGCTTTTACTCAGGTCGAACACTTTAACTCTAACACCACCCCTCAACCCAGGAATATAATTGGTGATAACAAACCTGGAAAATGTCTGGAAACAACCTGGAATGAACTACCTTACCAAACCTCTCCCTATACAAATTTAGTCTCACAGTCATTTAAATTGTGAAAGATGATTAAATAAATATTCCAATTCTCTTATTTCAGTAACTAAATCAAGTACTGTTCATGTCTCAAAGCAAGAGGAGAAAATGGATATTGATAAAGCTATTGATACCAAGGCAGACGGCAGCCAGGAAAGCACAGTCCCTAGTGGTGAAGTCGAGAATAAGAATATGGAACCAGAACTAGGGAATGGAGCTACTGAGAAAAAAGAGGAGAGTCTCGTAAGAAGCAGCACTGATGTTGAAATGGCTGACAACTCCAGTCCACAACTGTCTGCTAAAGCGACACCAAAACCTCTCAACCAAAAGAACTCCAAGTCAAACAAATCGAACAAGAAAGGTAATGGAATGAACACAGTTACGAAACCTATCAAGAAATTGCCTCAGTATACTGAAGCTGACGAGGAACTTGGTCTGAAGAGTGTGCTGGATACCCGCAAGTGTCAGCTGTGTGGTTACTATGGTGATGACGAGTCTCCAAGTGCAGGGCGGTTGCTATGCAGTGGCTTGGATGAGTGGGTGCATGTTAACTGTGGGCTGTGGTCAGCTGAGGTGTTTGAGGATGATGACGGCAAACTGCAGAATGTACAGTCTGCTATATCTAGAGGAAAACAAATGGTAAGAACTGAACAAGACCTCTTATTGTCATCATCATCATATTCACTGATACCATAATCATCATCACAATCATTGTCATAATCATCATCATCATTATCACCACCATCACTATTTTCATATGCCATCATCACCATCATCTTCATCATCTCCATCATCATCATAATCATCAACATCATCACTGATCATCTTCATCATCATCACTGATGACTTTACTATCATCTAATAACTATTACTATTATCATCAACATCATCACTGATCATCTTCACCATCATCACTGATGACTTTACTATTATCTAATAACTATTACTATTATCAGCATCATCATGTTTTTAACTTAATATTCCATTTTCCAGAAATGCGAGCACTGTGGAGAAACAGGAGCAACTGTGGGATGCTGTGAGCCAAGATGCCCATCAAACTATCACTTCATGTGCGCCAGGTAAAACACACACTCTCTAGAAGAACAATTTTTCTCTGGGATGTGAAAAATAGAGATAGAAGATAACCCTGTGTAACATTCATTCTAGTGATGCTGTGGCATGTGTTTCATGATTAAATTTATCAAACATACGCTGGTTTAATATGAATTTAATATGAATTTAATATGAATTTAATATGAATTTAATATGAATTTAATATSAATKTAATATSAATKTAATATGAATTTAATATSAATTTAATATYRATTTAATRTKRATTTAATRTGAATTTAATATGAATTTAATATGAATTTAATATAAATCTAATATGAATTTTATATTAATTTAATATGAATTTAATATGAATTTAATATCAATTTAATATGAATTTAATATTAGTTTAATATTAATTTATTATTAATTTCTTCCCAGGAATGCTAAAAGTGTTTTCCAAGACGACAAGAAGGTCTACTGTGATCAGCACTCGTTTAGAGCAAACAAAGAGGTAATAGATGGGAATGAATGGGATGGGATAAATGGATAAATGGGATATGATTAATAAATGGAAAGATGCACGAACAATGGTATTTTTACCGTGATCAACACACGTTTAGAGCCAACACGGAGGCAATGAATGGGCGTGGATGAGATGGGGTGCGATGAATGGATGAATGGGATGAGAAGAATGAATGCTTAGATTAATGAACGATAATTCGAATAAAAGTGATATTTTTCCTAGAGATTTTTCTTTTCAGCAACCAAAACGCAGTTGAAGTCAAATTTTTTTTACTCTTCTCGTTTTGTAATTCGGTTTTTGGATACTGTATTTTCAATTCCACAGGTATCCCAACCCTAATGACCTCAAATATTTATTCGACCGATCATTGTGTCTTTCAGTTAATCCTCCAAGGCGATCAGTTTCGCATGGACAGACGAGTCTTTATCGATCTGAGTAAAGTTCGTACTATTAAGAAAGGACTAAAGGGGGCTGAGCCAGACACTATAAAACTTGTACAAGGTACGTGTTATTGTCCTCGATAGACCTCTATATCTTGCGCATACTGTTTTCCCATTTCAGACCACATGCCATTACCTAGAATATCATTTCTTTGTTTAACTGCTGCGCATGGAGAAGACACATGATGTGGATACAACTCAAATAGAGTCTTTGCACCATTAAGTGATGACAGCCATGACAGGAGGCAGGAACAATTGAATCTGGTCTCATCTGATTTACATGAGAAAGAATTCACTTTCCCAGTGGGATAAGACTATTGTTGTGCCTCCTGTCATGGCTGCCATCACGTGATGGTGCAAAACCTCTATTCCCAGGAGAGTGACATTCACCCGTCTGAAATGGGAGAATATTATGCCGAAGGTAAAAAGGTCTAATACTTTTATACGATTTCTCTGATACTCATACAAATAAATTATTTTAAAGGCTCAATGAGAGTGGAATCGTTGGGACGATTAACTGAATCTTCTGACAATAAGGAAGGGATATTCCCAATCGGCTACAAGTAAGTCTACACAATCCCAATTTGCACGAAATTTCGTTTATATTTTTTGATGCCGTTTAATACAGTAGTGAGGGTGCATTTCGGTTGTCTTGCGTTGCATTGTGGTCAGGTTTGGCAGGAAGATTTCGTTGCTTGGTAGATAGCGTTGTAGAACGTTGTGACAGGGTGTGATTTGGTGCGGAGCGTCGAGGTACGGTGCACTGCTGTTGTAATGCCTGTTAATTGTGGTCTGGTGCAGTGCGGCAGTACGCATCATTGGGTTTGCGGTGCTGTAGTGGTGACGTGTAGGTGAATTATTTTGGGGTTTGGGTTTACACTATTATTTCTGCTTCCCAGAATAAGTCGGCTTTACTGGAGCGCAGTAGACCCGAGACGTCGCTGCAGATACTACTGCACAATCGTTGAAAAACCACGAGAAAAAATTAAAACCTGCTCGGAGGACACGAGTGGAATGGCGACGATAGATGACACTGTTCATACGGTAATCGCTCATGATGAAGTCGACAAACCATCATCTTCTGACAGAACTAAGCAAATTGATTTAACTTGTTCCGAGTCGTCGCATCAAATTCTAAATCCTTCTCACGATGAGCATGGAAAATGGAGTCAAAAGGGCCCAGGTAGCGCTTCACAAAAAGGACCTTTATGTCCCTCTACGGACCAAAAGGGACACAATAGTTTCTCTTTGAACCAAAAGGGGCCTGTAAGTCCCTCCAAGGACCTAAAAGGGCCGAGTATGTCTTCTACGAACCAAAAACCACATGTAATTCAATCTGCGGGTCAAAGAGGACTAACAAGTCCCATTACGGACCATAAAGAACCCCTTAGTCTTTTTACGGACTCTAAACATGTGAATAATACGTGTACAAAGGACAAATCTCAAGAAATCACGCGGATTTTATCTGGACTTAAACAAATATTACCATCTCGACCGCCTACCCCTATCATCCCTATTACTGCGTCTCCTCTTAGCTCACCTAGAAAAATCTTACCCAACATACAAAAGAATGTTCGCTTCCCATCTACTGTTGCTGGTCCAATCCGATCGTCTGTTCAGGGTCCGATCATGCTTCCTTTAAGTGTGCCAATCCGTCGAAAGGCGGAACCTTTGGTAGTTGGGTTAGACGGACCTAAAGCTAAAAAACAACGCATATCGGACAGCAATGACCAGGTTAAATCTACTGCACAGGTCAAAGCGTTAGTATCTAACCTAGTTAAGGATAGAATCAACAATCAAGAAAAACGGAAGAATTTGGAAACTCCGATTTTGAATCAAGAAAAGGAGAAGAAGACGACAACACAGCCAGAATGCTCTGGGAAAATACAAGAGAACAGGAAGTCGCTTGATGCGCAGAGACAAAACGTCAAAAAGGAATCTGTAATCAAAGTAAAATTCGTTATTAAGAACGATGATGGGTTGAAGATCGAATCGGATTCCTACAAAAGTAAGTCCCGAGTACTTCTTTCGGGTTGCCTTGGTTACATGTTTCAGGTTGCCTTGGCTACTTGTTTCAGGTTGCCTTGGTTACTTGTTTCAGGTTGCCTTGGTTACTTGTTTCAGGTTGCCTTGGTTACTTGTTTCAGGTTGCCTTGGTTACNTTTCAGGTTGCCTTGGTTACTTGTTTCAGGTTGCCTTGGTTACTTGTTTCAGGTTGCCTTGGTTACTTGTTTCAGGTTGCCTTGGTTACTTGTTTTAGGTTGCCTTGGCTACTTGTTTCAGGTTTCCTTGGTTACTTATTTTCAGATTGTCTTTAGGTTTTTAATGATACATTATTGAGTTAATCTACCCCTGTTTGTGTTGTAGACGCATGGAAGATAATATATGAGATGGTGCGGGAGGCCAGAGCAGATAGATTACTGAAAGACGTGCCCTTCATTGGTAGGTGTAACTGAATGAACTACATAGCCCCCTCCCCCCCCCCCCCCCCCCCCCCCCCCCCCCCCCCCCCCCCTCCCTCAACAGTACATATCCCATGAGCCACTTCAACCACACCCCTCTTCATCATACTATAACGATAATAATGGAGACTGATCTTATAACACATTTCACAGTGCACTTTACGGCTGCAGCTTAAAATCATGAGGAAATTGTTAGTATATTAGCCTTATGCCTCCAAATCGAAATTTATATATCTTGTATCAAGTATACTAAATGACTATTATATTTTTACAGGACTGCACAACGTTTCTATGCTTGGTCTAAAACAGGTAAGAATAGATAGATCGCATGCGACTTGTCGTACGAGACATTCGACTTTTACTCGTTCTCTTATCTTGTAGGAATCAATAGTGTACTAGATAGAAGAATAGAAGGATTGTATGCGATTTTTGAATGAGACGTTCGATTTTGACTCGCTCTCTCTTGACTCGTTCTCTTTTCTTTTAGGAGTCAGTAGCGTACTTGTTGGAGCAGCTTCCGGGAGCTCATCAGTTGAAGAAATATAAATTTAAATACAACGCTCCTTTTGCTAAGAACGCAAATGGTGGTGAATATGGAGCAGAGGTATGTTTTTCGTTTTAATATTCCATCGTAAATAACTCAGGGAGACCCTCTCTGCATGGAATTCTGGGACGGCGCTGGGAAGGTTGATAACTAGTTTTACCGCAGGGAATTATGGGACCGTGGTAAGGGTGAACGGTAACTTATTTTTCCAGAAGGGAATTATGGGACTGCTATGGAGGGAGAATAATAACTAACTCGCACCGCAGGGATTTATGGGACTGCTATGGAGGGAGAAT